GCTGGAAACTAACTCTGGTTCGTTTAAAGCGGACCAAATTATCAGGTCTGAATACGACCTCAGTTTCAATTTCCATTTAGCCCCCCCGGCTCATGAGAGGTCACCACACCATCACGGTTAAAAAGAAATCCTAGGAGAAGCCCTGATTAGGTTTACGACCCACCATTAGATTGGTGGGATTAGACCCCTCAGAGCTGTTTGACAGAAAACACTTTGTTTTACTAAGTGAGCTTTTAAAACCAGCTGCACAGTCAGTTCTTGCTGCTGACATCGTTTAGTTTCTACCTTCTCTGGATGAACTGAGCTCAGTAACCAGATCTGCTGCTTGTTCATCATTCCTTCTGTCAGGTGTCTTTTTAATTAACTTATCCAACAGTTATACTGTTGTGCAACAACTTCACTCTAAATATAATGTATTATTTACAACAGTCTTTAGAGCTGGGCGATGTGGCAAAAAATGGTCTCGACTTCTTTTTTCATAAACTTAAAACTCAGTTATTATCACAATATTTTTATTAACCTAAAAAAGTGTTGAATTATAAAGTGACAGAAAAATAATTGAACAAATAAATAGCAACAGAAATATAAAAATAATAATAGCAGTTATTTCACTAATATAACAAATGTGTGTAGAGCATTAAATTCTTTTTGCACGATATTGAAAAGTATTTACAAAGAAAATAAATCTGTAAATGACAGAATCTAGCATTAATAACGTTACCCTTCTGTAAAATAAAAGCTTTAGAATTGAATTTGTCATTAAATGTCATAAAGAAACAAAATCTACAAACAGCCACACTTTGTGCACACCAGCCTTTTGAAAAGGTTATAAGTTCATTATTCACTTTTCTTTTTATTCATTTACTTCTGTTTTGGAGGGACCGTCCTGTTTAAAAAGTTAAGTCTTAGTCTGCTGTTTGATAAAACACTGTAAACAGGAGGGTCCTTCCAAAAACAAAAAGTGAATAATGAGCTTAGATCGTATTCAGTAGGCAAGTTTGCACAAATTGTTGCTGTTTGTAGGTTTTATGTTTATGACAT